TGTTGAAATCCTGTTCGACAAGATTTATGCTAAATCCTGCTCAATTCTTGCGTAAATCTTGTTGACAAATAGCCCTTTAAGATTCGGCAAGGAGAACCGTTAGAGAAGTTGAAGAGGCTGAAATAATTGGAGACGACGGAGAGGAAGATAAAAATATAGATTAAGCCGAATAGTCATGAGTATGGAAAACGAGAACGTAACTTTATTACCTAATTCAGAATTTATTTCAGTTGGTTAACACTAAAATACAAAGCAATTATGAATTCAGTCCGATTACGATCTAATGCCACGACATTGCAAATTCAACGAGTCTAAGATATACTAATTTTGACATTACTAAAGCACTTAAATGCTCAAAAAATGATATATGATTAAGAGAATCAATACAAGTCATATGGGTTGTTAGGATTTTAGCTATATTTAAATAGCATTTCACTCTAAAAAATTATAATTAGATCTCCACTCGCAACAAGAAGAAGACCCTTGGCTTGATATTTAAAAACTCAGAGGCTTGAAGAGTCTTGAAACTCCAACCTAACACCAGTTTTTTAACTAGTGCCCTTGAATTATCGCCAACAAGCTACAACTAACAAATTGCCGCCATCAAAACACCACCTTCTGACGAAAGCCATTAGACCATCACAATTGACCACCTTTGCTCCATTATACCACTGTCATATGACCACTGTTGTCCAACCACCACCATCTAACCACTACCATCGGACCTTCGTACTCCAACCACCAACTACGATCCTTCAACCATTATTGCCCAAATACAATCCTCCAATCACTATCATCCGAATAAATTCCTTCGAACACCATCGTCTACTATTTACAATGCTCTGACCATCGCCACCCAACTATGATCCTCACACTATTTCAACCTAACAACATTCCTATGAACCTCATCGACCGACTATGGTCCTCCAACCACCATTTTCTGATTATGATCACCACACCATTATCGTCCCACTACAATTCAATAGTATTCATTGCCTAACTACAATATTTCAACCACCATAGCCCAACTACAATCCTCCAACTATTATCACACAACTATGATTTCACAATCATTGTCACCACACTATATCCTCATGTCCACTGTTGCCTAATTACACTAACCTCAGTCGACTTCATCTCCTGTTATTGTCAATACTATTAACAGATGACATCTTGTATATTGTTGATGCATGCCATCATCAAAAGGTCAATTTTCTCCACCAACATTGATGCATGTTATCACCTACATGACATATACATGTTGTTGACATTAACTCTACTCCTAACATCAACACCAAGATTTATATTAGACTTATTGGTCTCTGATCTCCAACAATCATCATTACTCGATTGTTGCCATCTAGCCATCACCAACAAGGCACCACCAACATTCCACCGCCAACAAAATATCACGGTCTGACCATAGCACTCAGACCATCGCAGTCTAACCACTATCGCTTAACCATGATTATTGAACCACCATCATCCTACTACTTCCTTTTGACCATCTTCATTATACCACTATCGTTTGATCATCATTTTCCAACCACCACCATCTAAACACCTATATCAAACATTCGCACTAAAACCACCAAATACAACCCTCTAACCATTATTACTCAAGTATGGTTCTCTTACCAACGTCATTCAAATACAATCCTTCAACCACCATCCACTATCTAGAACATTGACCATCGTCATCCAACTTTAGTTATCTTACTATTACGACCCAATTATGATCCTCTTGTAATAATCACAAATTTAATTCTTTGTAAATTCCGGAGTGCTACGGCACTGTAGCTATTGAGCATTACGGTGCCAAGCTCTCAGGTTTTCTACTGCAACAGTGTTAGGATCTTGAGCTAAGTAATCCCAACATTAGATCAGTTATTTTTTAATAAAAACATCAAAATCATTTTAATAAAATCCCCGCCTAAGTAATCCCCTCCCCATGTCCACATATGTTTCAGGTGAGAAAAGAAAAAGGAGAGCAGAGAAAGGAAGAGATATAATAAAAAAATGTGAGGGAAAGTAGGTTTTGGGCCAATATCTTCCATCACTCAAGTCATAAAATTTGCTTTGATCGGAAGGTAACTTTTACTCTATCTCTATTTTTAGTGATTTTGAGTTTTGACTATTGTTTTCCTCCTAAAATCAATAAAAATGAAATATCTCCCATTTTAGTAGATTTTCATCATATAACTTTTGATATATGATAAATATCATCACTCTGAATATTTTGATTGATTTTTATTGAAAATTCACCAATTAATTTTGCTTATATATTAATTTAATTGAAATGAGTAGAGTAATATCATGTTTAAAATTATTAGGAGTTAACACAAGACATTTGGACATGAAATATATGATATGCATTGATTTACAATTCATATGATCTAATATGCATTTTGACAAAATGCATGCATGCGAGTGAGTACAATGTATAGACCTAGATGTTATAATCATTGCATATGATGTGTATATAATATTTATAATTATGATTTATATGATATGAAATGTATGTAAAAACAAGAAAAGTTGGGTGGAAATGATAAACTAGTTTAAGTTTGCTAGAAACGTGTTATCATGTACAAGAGGATGCTCCGATGAGCTTTCCTTTAAATATGATTTATAGTATAATCCTAAGTAATATGAAAAGAGGTGTATAAATAGACTAATTAATATGAAATGATACACCAAGTTACAAGAAGTGATAACTTCTTTCATAAAGCCACCTAACTTGTGATATGTGATATTTGATATGAGATTGAATCCTTATAACATAAAAAATATTATTGATTTATTTATGTTTGGTTTGAATGACTTGCATGACTTGATACAGGAAAAATATCACATGTAGTCAAATGCTTTGTCTTGCTTACATACATGTGACATGAGCATACATGATAAATTAAATAAGTGATAATATAACATGATAAATAACATGACTGATACATGCATATGATAAGAGTGTTAAGATTAATATAGGGGCATACAATATATATATATATAAGGATGGCATATAAGCATTGATATTGTATGACATGCATATGATAAATGTAGGGATACTAACATATATGAAATGATATATAAATTAAAATAAAACATAATTTATAGATATGCATAGATTCATAACAGACCTATTGTATTATAACTTGGCATGGGTACAGAAATGATAGAATATACTGATTTTGTATATGGCTATTGATCACTAATTATAAGTCACATTACTTATATTGATTTTCATTGTGCATATGAAATGAAATTATTCATATTGAATGTTACATGTTTATAATGTTCTGGATTGAATGATTACATGTACACTATTCCTATTACCTTGCATTGATTATAGTGATAGATTTTGGTAATCATCTAAGCTATCAACTCACCCCGTGGCTTTTACATGTTTTTAGAAAGGGGCCAGGACCTAGTGGAGTGAGGTTGAGAGAGTTTTCTAGGTTTTATGTTGTTTTATGTACTTTAGATTATTCTTTTGTCAATAGGAATGTTAATGGGAGAATGATGTTAGCAATGAATTCTTGGTTATTATACATGAATTTTTAGAATAAAATTGTAACTTGATTGAAAATGACTTATAGTTATTTTTGGACCTATTTTCAACCACCATCGCCCAACTATATAGTGTTCTAAACATTGTCGCTCTACTATAAACTTTGAACCACCACCATCCAACCACAATCCTCTAACCATTACTCGCCAACAAAGATCCTTCAACCACTATCACCCAACTACAATCAACCGACCACTATCCCCTATGATATCCTAGCCACAGTCACTTGACCACTTTCACCTGGCTAAAATCCCCTAACTATCATCACCCAGCTAAGTTCTCTGACTACCCTCAGCCAACTACAATCCTTCAACAACTATCACTCAATTAAAATCCTTCGACTATCGTTCCCCTATTATAATCATCCTATTTTAATTGCCCAATTAAGCCTCCAAACATCATAGCCCAACCACAATCTTCCAACTACTATCACCTAACTATGATTTCCGACCATTCACCCCGTCATAGCCTCCTAGTCACAATCACTCATCGACTACACTAACTCATTCTGACTTCATCTCCCATCATTGTTAATGGTATTGATACATGACGTCACATATATAGTCTATGCACGTCGTAATCACAAAAGCTCAATTCTCACTTATTTTGTCATCACCAACATTAACATCAACTTTTGACTCTTTATACAAACACCAAGATTTATATTAAACTTCTTGATCTTTGATATCATCTCCTTTAAAAAACAACCAAATAAACAAAAAATAATCTCTTGAAGATAAATCTCATACACAAGACTATTCCAACTTATAAATAAAAATTTACCATATATAACATTTTATTATATTATATCAACCCATTGTTCAATCGCAGGAAACGACAACATTTGTTACAAAAAACAAACAGAGCATAATCATTTCAACAGAGTTAAACCACACGATTTTTCATTTTTTTCAAATTTTCTTATGCAAAAACTACGATGTCATTTACAGCTCTATTTTATTTAGATATGCTAGATCTCCATATAATATTAAATATTAAAATCTCTCTGCTATCATAATTTTTTTTAGTACACAAAGGCCAAAAAATCATAATTAAGAGTATCAGTTCAAGTTCAGGTCCAACAAAAAAAAAAGACCTCATACATAAAAAATACTCAAATCATTATAGATTAATATCATTCCATTTCGAAATTTCAAATATATCAAATTTGCATTCAAATATACAAATTCATAATAAAATTCCAACCAATATTTTTTCATTCCAATCAAATTTTCTTTGATTTGGTCATAGCCACTTAAAAAAAAAGGAATTTACTACTTCAACACTTTTAAATGAAAATAACTTTATATACAATATAAATTTTGTTTGAAACTTCCAAAAAAAACATACTCAAATAGCCATATTCTCACCAAAAGAGCTATCCATTGGCACTTCCAAAAGAAAAACCGAATCTCTATCAGCAAAAAAGTATTGCAAACAATTCCCAGTTGAGATCACTAAGCCAATAAAAATCATCTTCAATTATACAGACTAACCTCAAAAATCTACCAAAACAAAAGAATATATATATAGTGGACATGTAGCTCTAAACAATATAGTATAGTGGACATGTAGCTCTACAGAGTAAAACTGAACTAGTATCAGAAGAGGGGAATAAAAGGCTTAATGTAAAGGCTGATACATTAAAGCGTCTTGCTTGATAGAATAGTTGCTGTTCATCTGGATTTTGTGAAATCAAAAAAGTTGGGAGACTGATTAACTTCAATGTCAAGTTATGATCTGAAGTATATGCTCATAAGATATCTTGTAGGATTGAAGCCGGTCAGGATCACTACATCAACAAATCAGAAATATATTATCTCGCCTGCAACTTTACAAGTCGAATCAAGATGGAGTTTAGGATGCTTTTAAGGCAGCCATAGCTTATTCGCTTATTGTGGAAAAAATGGATTTATTGAAAGTGGTTATGGGTAGTATAAATATTTTTTTAATATGGCAATAATTTTCTTATAGCTATTAAATGCTGAGATCTAATTGTAAAATTTAATTTTGACCATTAATTTTTTTTTAAATAGAGGCCAAATAAAATATCATAACAATCTAAAAAAATAACATGGTAAAGAAATTGCCCCAAACAGTCCTTTTACCAAAAACATATACTTACAAAGAGGGGATAGAATGATGACAAGACCAATTGGATACAAGAAGAAAGTTGTTCTATCCAGAAATGGCAGTACTGCATAGTCAGCACAAAATAAGTCAAGTACAGAAGATATATATATATATATATATAATATATATATATATATATATATATATATTGAGAGAGAGAGAGAGAGAGAGAGAGAGAATACCATCATATCCTAAAAAGTTAAGATAGTTGTAGTAAGAAATAGCCACCATAAAAAGCAGATTTGATAGCAGAACTGGGAAAAAACCATGGGCGACTAATAGAGGAGAAACGAAGTAATGAACCACTGACATAAATAGGAGGTTGCCGTCAAAAAACAAATTCAAATAACAATGTTAAAATTAGTTCTAAAGTGTTTAGATTATTACCATAGAGCAAAATGAATGCTGGAAAGAAAGAGTTGCAATGCACATCAAGTGCATATAGCCTGAAACAAGCAAAAATAAAATAAAATATCAAGCAAGCTACGTTCACTGATTATATTGTGGTAAACATTAAATAGTTCAATATGAAAGGGTAGGAAATTAAATTTTTAGTTGCAGTGAATGGAGGAGGGTGTAATACAACAGGCATGAAACTTACAGATACGATTCTTTTTTTTTTTTTTTTGCATGAAAAAAACAAGTCCAACCTTATTAATTAAAAGAAGGGTATATGGCCAGTTACAAATTAAGCCAAGTCTGATTATAAATAAAATCTCAAGCAGAGAAGTCTAATCATAGATTAAGACTTCGTTTGGGACAGCTTCTTTACTGTTTCTTAAAGCAGAATTCTAGTTCAAAAATTTTAATTATTGTACTATAAAGCTGCTTTAAAAAACAGTAAGAAAATCGTCCCAAACGAAGCCTAAATCTTATGCAGGAAGTTAGTGAATATTTAATTTAAAGATAAGGTATCCAGTATGACAACAGTAGTGGCACATAAATGGGGATATATGGCAAACAAAGATAAATTTACCCAGGGAATAGAAGCAACAATGATATTAAAAATGAATTTCAAAAGACAAGGACAACAACAATAATGTGTGCTAGAACATAAAATAAGAGCTTATGGCTCACCCTTAGGGTGAAAATGATCAACCTAGGATATGAACATCAAATGTAACGTTAGTGGAATTGGTCAATAAAGCAATAGCAAAGATATTTAAAAGATAGATTTCCTAAAATAATAAATAGGCTAAATATGCCATATGGATCTGATGGGCAAAACATTACTATTAAACAAATATAGTGTGGCCAAAATAGTAAAGATGAATCTTTGCTAAAATAAAGAAGGAAAGACAGAATTTCATACTTACGGGATAATCTGGGAAGCACTTATTTAAGATAAGATAGTTCAAAATAGACTAAAGTGATTTTAACATTATCACAAAGAGCAAAAGATGGATAGGTCTCTCATGTCACTATCCTTTTGTCAACACTTCTCATTTTCTCTCCTATGAGTGTATTCATTTTTCCTATGGCTACTCTGTGCAAACATTTACAGAGGCTGCTCATCTCCCGGAGTCATGCGTGTTAATTGAACTGGTCAAAATTATATGAAATGACTTTTGACAACAAAACAAATTCAAATGTAGAACCCGCTCAGTCCCTCTTGAATGGTAAGGTTAAGCATTCCATTAGGAAGCCCATTGTGCTATATTCATTCTTATTTAGCCCTTGAAAAATGATACAAGGCCAACCATGTTATGTGTTATATTGATTGATAGTTCACAATAATACAAAGTCGGTATAAATAAACTTAGGTTTTTTTCTTTTTCTTGGGAAGCATGAATGAAAAATGGAGCTCAGCAGACTTAAAGGATAAGATGTAAAAGTGAGCGTGTTCAGGAAGTGTGGAAGCATCACCTCTTGAGGAAACGGGATTGAAGTTAGTAAACAAAGGAAAAAAAAAAAAAGTAGAGGAAGCAACAGTGTGACATGATCAAATTAATGCATAGGACTAGGGCTGTCAGATAAAGGTGGAAGAACAAAATAAATTGATTGTTTTTCATCGGAAAAGATTTAGGTGTTGGTAGAAACAAACCACATTTTCAAGATGATGACGATGAAAAAATATCAACAATGATCAAGTTCCCATGGCATGATTAATGGTGAGTGAGCTCGTAGTATATAGATGAATGAGGCATTAAGTCATAGCACTGACGAAGCAAAAATATCTTTCGACTGTAAGTCTTCTTTTATAGTCGTATAACAAGCAAAAATGGTTTAAATTATGATTTTCTACATTATTTGAAGTTTGTGTACTTATTTAATGTAGCCACATTGATGTGAAACAATCCCATGCGAAAATGATTTGCTCAACGAAGTTTGCACGCTTAGGTCTAGAGGCAATAATAAGTAAAATCTTATGCGGAATTGAACGATAAGATAAAAATTAAGTGGTACTTAGCTTAGGTTAAACACATGCGAGAGGTTGAGATCATTAAATAGTTAACTAAGTCTTACTTTGCATACATGAGTGGTTTCAACGAGAAATTCCAATACTAACAATAAGATTAGTTGCTATGAGAAGATCAAACCAAGAGCTCCACCAAGGGGCTGTTGGGTATTGCTTTGAGCCTCTCCTAGGCTTTCCTCACTTGAGAACTCACAAAGAGATCCAAAACCAAAATTTTCCATTAACCATCATCATCCTCAATACAAGAAAGCTAGCCTATAAATAGGCCTCATGAAAAGAAAAATAACAAAGACTAAAATGCCCTTCGGGCTACAACACTACACGACCACCCATAAGGGTAAAAAGGGAAAAACAACAATATAAAATAAACTAGTACAAAACATATAAATAAATAACTAAAAAAAATCGTAGCCGTTGATCTCCAATGTCCTCATCACACATCTTATTTATTTCTAAGCATTAATGTGTTTTTACTCATTTTTTCACATCATTTCTGAGAATGTTTTGTCAAAAATTAGTAGCCAAAGGTAAAAAATATTTTGTTGATGATATAGGATCCACAGTGGGGATTCAAGAAAACTCAGATTTGATTCATTTCAAAATATTATCAACATTATCAAAAGCACCAGTGAACCTCAGTACAATATGGCAGCCCCCAAGACACCAGGCAACAACATAAACATTCACGCATTAGAGTGGCGCTATTAAAAAAAAGGCTATCACTTATAAATTGATTTAATTGAGGAATACTTTTGAGAAGTACAAAAGAATAATAATCTTATGCCAATCAATAATGAATTTTTCAACTTACATTGCATTCCATGTACAAAAATTTTTTTCTGAGAAAATTATCTTAAATAAATATAATTAAACTAGTTAAGTTTGTAACATGTATAGACTAATTTAATCTTCACTAAAACTATTTCATCTTCTTCATCATCGTGTTCTCTAGACTCTCATAGGATTTGTGGCCTTCATCTCTTCATTTTTTTTTTTTTGGACCCACCAACTTCATCTTCAAAATTTACTATAGATCTTGAAGTTCTTATACCCATATTTGATCAACTTGTTCCTATTAGTACACACGACTTTCCAACTCTTGATGCCTTTTTCACATCATTTGATGTCAAATTTTCACATACAAAATTGATGCATCTTTGGCATATAAAGTATTAGCACCTATCTCTCAAATCAAGCAAATCATTCTTCAATGTCTGGCACCTAATGGAAAAAAGATCAGCTAGGCATGTCTGTCTCTCTTGGGAGTACTAAGAGATGTTTATAGTGTCCCCTAAGATAGCCTGAGTGTCCAACTGCCTCTAATAGCAATGCATCTTATTAGGGGTAATTAAAGAGTATATCAAAAGTTAAGCCTGCCTATTCATACGTTATATAAGTGCTTCTCCTGAACCAAGAATACTTGACCTTATGAACTTGGAATACGAAAGTGAGAATAGCCTCCTAAACATCAAGAAGTCAAGCTTGATTGATGCCAGACTTGGAATCATCATAAGAGGAGGTAATTTTTTTCATGTGTTTCATAGCACTTAGTAATTGACTTTTCGACCAAAAACACCCTTTCAGATGATATAATCCTAAAGTGAATATTGAAATGATAGAATACACCTTGGACAAACAAATATATGAAAAAAAAAATATTATAGGAAAAAAAATTATTGAGAACATTTAATCATGAAAATGTACAACATTTATGAAAGTGAGGCGAATTATTATCAAGAAATAAGACATACGAAATTACTATATTCCTTACTATATGAAATGGATGTCTTCCTAACGCATTTTAAATTTCCTTTTCAGAATATCAATTAGATTTTGGACTTCAATTCCATCCGTTAAAGATGGATAACAAACCAAGCAACATTTCAAAAAGAGACAGAGAAAACCAAAAAAAAAAAAGGATAAACAGGAGAGCTTAATTATTACTTTAGCAAAGAAGCAAGCTCAATGCATTGAGGATCTCACAAATGCAGGAAGAAATTGATGGATTCAAGCGTATCTCTGCATTGCAAAGAGCCTACTCATGTAATTCAATCCCATGACCTTCATATCACAATAGAAATAATTAACCATAGGTCCAAGCCCAACTATTATTTGCAGCATAATTTTAATAGCCATAGTATCAGAATAGCTATATGTATCAAAACCTATCAGCAAAAATAACAAGCGAATCAAATTCAAGAAGACAAAAGAAGCATATTCTATAGTTACCATTCAACACGTTGCTCAACTACGTGACTGTTAGGAGACTCTTCCCGCAGATAAGCATTTGTGAGAAACCTAGATGGTAAAGAGGAAAATTCAGCAATGATCTACACAATTACTTAAATTCTTTTTGGATACGGAGGGAAAGTAATTTAAACTTACTATCTTAAGCAACAAAATCGAAGTTTAAGGAAAACGTTTAAAAGAAGTGCATGTTAAAAGGATTAGCAATCATCAAAAGAGAAGCATGAAAAACAATAACATGCAAGTGAAGACATTTATAGTTTTTTGCAGTAATAGAGGAAAATTTTCTTGTCCTAGCGTTTCATAAAAGTTCACATATAGATAAAAGGAGGTTGAAGCTCACAAGAGACACAAGAGTTTTTATGTGTAAAATCTAAGAGGCTAGGCTAGCTTGAATAGTCCATTATACAAGTTTATGTTAACAAAATGTTTCTCTTCCCCTCAACTATAGAATGTTGGATTGCAAAATCTAGATTACCATATTGATCTCCTATGACAGTAGTTGAAGATATTAGAAAAATAATAAGTGATGGGAATATATGTCACTAGATGGTCAGCAAAGGAAACCAAGTGGCAATGAACATCAACATTGGTTGATGGTTGAAGACAAATGTCGATATCAATTGATGGTCGATAGAGGCCTTCGGGTGATGGTGTACACAGGTGATTGTCAGGATTGGTCGATGATGGGTAATGTTGATCGATAAAAAGAGCTTTAGGATTCTTCAAATTTGAGGATTCTCCCCATCAAGTCTCCCCGCCAAGTTTGGAATGAAGCTATTTATAAATATTATGTTGGGGTGTTTGGGTTATTTTTGCCAAAATCCTAAATACTTTATAAAATAGTCTAGAATAATCCTCCTTGAATAATTGATATTTTTTAATTATTTAATTGCCTTAGTGACATCAAAATTAAACAATTTTAAGCATGTTTGATTCATCTCGTCTAGATGCAAATTTTGATTATTATATTTACTAAAGATGAAGTTAGGGTGATCCCAATATTCATCACAAAAGTTTCTAGTTGAAAATATAGTGCTTTGAGATCTAAAGTCTAAAGTTATGCAAAGATTCATATTGATCAAATGAGTTTTTAGGAGATATATCAGTTGTCCATTATTTTCAATTTGGACCAAAAATAATTTCGATAATGAAAATTTTGAGATATAAATTAAAATTTCAAACAAAATTGCAAGGCATGGCAATCCTTGGACGACAATGTGGACCTCTCCTCATGGTCGCGAATCACATAATTTCTCCCGATTTTAATTTTAACATTAAGAGAAGCTTGCACATCATGCAAATAAAAAATTGTTAAAAAGATATGCCCAAAACTCTCTAAATGGCTCAAAATTATATTTAGAGGATTCATTGGGCTCCAAAAATATTAAAATTGAATCTAGAACATTGAAGAATGATATTGACCATCCAAAAGTATCTAAAGAGGTCAGTTCAAGCTCAAAAAATTATCCAAAGCTTGCACAGGCCATACCAGCAAATTGTGTGCCTACAAGAGGTGTTTTACTTTTTGAATTAAATGATTATTATTTTTAAAAAATAGTAAGTTTTGAATCAACAACTCAACAAATCTAAACTTCTTCCAAAAAAATAAAATAAAATAAAATATAAAAATACTCCTCTCGTATTTCCTTCTTCCCTACTATAAATACCCCCTTAGGAGTTCATGAAAAATAATGTCTTTCCTCTTCAAGCTCTAGTTCTTCGTATAAAAATGCCATAAATTATCCTGCAAGAGGTATAACTTTAAGTGGCAGCTTAGGCTAGGCATTTCTACTTCAAGACTCTAGTCTTCCTCTACAAAGAGATCGACCATCCAAATTGCACAAACCTAAACCGAGGTGGAAAGGCTTTTTGCTCCATTTTGGGACTCTGATTTTCTTCCCAAGAGGAATTAATCATCGTTAATATTTGGCGTAACCCACAAGAGGGATGGAAACTGATGCAATAGCATGTCATTGTGGGCTCCGAAAATTCACGCCTCGACCTCTCTGATCTCTTTCACGGAGAGTTTTAACAAATAGATATTCCAAGCGTATAAATGTGAGTGGCAGCTTAGGCTAGGCATTTCTACTTTGAGGATCTAGTCTTCAAAGTAGCTACACAAACCTAAACTTTGCTCCATTTTGGGACTCTGATTTTCTTCTTAAGAGGAATTAGTCATCCCCAATTTTTGGCATGGCATGTCATTATGGGCTCCAAAAATTCACACCTTAACCTCTTCGTTCTTTTCTTCACAGAGAATTTTAACAAATGAATTTCCATGATAAATTTTCATAACGCAGATTAGATCTAAAGATAAGATACTATTCAAAAATTTTACCCTCATTTCACGAAGACTTTATTATTTGATTCCCGGATTTTCAAAGGCGCATGACATTATGGTTAATTATCCCTCCCATTAAAAAGAGAACAATTTTGATTAAGGCTAGCAGTTAGATAGGTACTAAATACCCGACATATAGTAGCAACAGTTTTAGGGTTTGGATTCAAATTTTTAGGGTTTGAAATTAACCACCATATACTTAGCAAATGATTGAGAAATGATGGCAAACCTAATCAAGATTCCATGATTCCATCATCACAAATTATCGTGATCCCAAGTTTACTTAGTAAACGAAAGTGGTCCCAACATGACCAAAGAATCCTTACCGATAGTTATGAGTTGTTTTGTCCAAAAGTACCATATAGACCTAGAGTGAATGTTTATCTAAAAGGATAAATTCAAGCAAACTTAGTTAATGGAGGGGGCAAGGTGCCCTATCAAGTACATATTATGATTTATTACTCAAAAAGTTTTGAGCCATTGGATGACCATGACCATAACTGTAATTTAGTGGTAAAACCACCGATCAGAGGGCCTTAGTCATAACTATTTATCTTTGGTGCCATTTGGTAGCCTAATCATCTAATAGAGGACATGTGTTGCATCTTTAATAGCAGGAGACTATTTAAGAATGAATCTTAGTGATATTCTCGACTAAAAAATCGTATTTTGTGAGTTGATATTATTCTTAAATTTATCATCTTCAACAAACTATTGTAGAGGGTGGATAAATTTTGTTTAAAGTTTCAGGTGACTAATTTCACTTTAAGCATTTAAACTTTACATAGATTTTGAATTTTTTTAATCAAAATTTAGGCCTCGAATGAGTGACCTTAGAGTTTGAGCATATTTTTGAAAATTAAGTATTCCCCTCTTATTGAGATTTTCTATAATCGAGGTACTTGAGCTTTTTTTTTATCATTTGAACTATCAACTCTATTCATCTGCTAACAGAGGATCGGGTTCAATATGAATTATTTATTTTAACATGTACAGTATTCTCTGACCTTAAATTAAGGGGTTTAACATATAGATTAGAACACATGCAAATGTATTTAATTTAATGAAAAGGGACTTTATTTTGACTTGTTTTTAACCCAACACAATATATAAGATGTTATATCAAGCATTTATTACACTCGTCAAAGCCCATGGGTTATTTATTTTCTCATGTAATTTTTAGTGTTCTTGTCATATACATGCACAATTTTCAATGCATCTGCCTAATGCATGTACACAATACATGTGCACTAGATCATTTGCATATTTCTTAAGGTATTTTAGTGGAGTTTGGATACTACCTCGTGATATATTCACATGACTTAAAAATATCTTGATTTGATTCTTTTATTCATCTTCACAATCCTTGCATAAATTTTAAGGCGCTGTGCATTATAATTTAAAATTTGACTCATAAAATTCATACAGTGGCAAAGTTATGTAAAATTTAATTTTTTGCATTTTTATTTTTTACAATTTTAAGAATTTTTAATGATCGACATTTATCCCTTACACAAAAAAGAGTTATTGAACTGATGATGACGAAAGAGCAAACGGGATGAATACATGAAACTTTTCACATTCGTATTATTGGGTCCTTTAAATATTATTTTATTAAGTGTTGTGGGCTCCACTAGAGGGTTCTTCATCCCTATAAATATGGGAGGAAGTGGACGCTCATTTCACTCATCCCAAGGGTTCACTTGAGTTCTAATTGTTGTTGCAAATCTTAGCTTTTTTAATAAGGTTCTTTATGGCTTGTGGTGAAGTTACAAATTTAAGTCCCTATAAGTCCCATGTTTTTGTATTTAGTGTTCACATTTTGTTCAAGTTTGCATATTCATCATTTAGATTGGTTGCATTTTGTTAGTTTTAGATTCCCTGATAATGCAATTTTTTAAGGATAAATTCATTCAAAATGCTAGAAGCCTCCTGGCATCTCTCATGTGTAGGTGGAATTGACGGGGATGTAGGCTTGCTCGTCGCACCAAGAAATGCGTGTATGGTCGGTGTCTTGGGACACCATAGTCGGGACTAAAAAAACTCTACACGTAAAGAAAAACATACAAGGGATACCTGCACAAGAAAATGCATCAAGTAAAATACTGATAGGAAATAATTGCAGAAATCAATTCCCCCTTTGCTGAAATTGAATTTCAACACCCCAAACCCAATCTCCAAGACGAATTTAAGAGAAATAACAAAAGAAAACTTTTTGCAATTGATGAAATAGAGAAGAAAACCACAACATAGAATGGATCATCAATTGGAGAGGAAGATCCGGCTCTCCCAATTCTCTAGTCGACGACTAGAGCCCAAAACTACCTAAGAATACTTCAAATTTCAGCAAATACCCCGTAAAACCTAAACCTAAACAATATATCTAAAGCATATAAAATATATTTAATGCCAAAACAATCCTCTTAATTTAAATTTTAGTCCCAATCCCCTCTTTAATTTCCTCTTAATTGCTCGCCTTAATTGATGATGGATTGTTGGGCCCCACCTAAATTAAACAGACGGAAGCCTGTTCCCCTAAATAGGCGGAAGCTTGTTCCGCTTTACAAGCGGACACTTATTCTACCTCACAGGTGGACACCTGTTCCACCTCACAGGAGGAAGCCTGTCAAACAAACACCTTATCACATCACATACATCATTGATGAGATTCCTTCTACCACTCTAAAAAAAATGTGTACGAAGCACCACTCATAGCATCGAAATGCATCACTAACGGGATCCACACGCTGTGCCATGAATGCCTCCAATGAGCTTCCTCCCGCATGTTAAGAAAAGCATATATAAGGTTCCACTCACTGCATCGAATGCTTCGCTTTCAGGGTCCACAAAGAAAATGAGAGGCGCAACGACAAGGCTACAAAATTTTAAGCAAACACACAATATATATGTGTGTGTGTAATTTCTTCTTCTTCTTTTTTTTATTCTCTTTTTTTTTTAAGGGCAATAGATGGTCATCCTTAGGAGGTCAACACACAAGTCGGAGCGGCGCAAATGATGGTGGGTAGGAGTGGCACTGGCGGCTAAGAGGCGACCGACTAGGCACACGGTAGTTGGGAGTTGGATGGGCATCGTGGAGTGCATTCGCTCTTCGCTTAAATCATTTATTATTGTTATAATTATTATATATTTAATGAAATATTAAAACTTTGGTTTTAAACTTAAATTTTTATTTTTTTATTAAAATAGTGAATAGATGTTTTGCTTTAAAATGCGAATTAATTCATTCACCGGAATTTTTGCCGCTTGTGTGTCGCACACCCTTGTTTCGCACGCAGGGTGAATTTTTTGTTACATTTCTTGTATGGGCACCCTTGCCTATTTAACACTGTCGTTGCTAGGTCCCAAGTCCTGGATGAGAAAAGTGAAAGGTTGCGTTAGGTAGTCGACAACCAGCGTAAAATTTATCGAATAATAATTATATGAATCCTTTAAGAAATTATGTTAATGCTAGGGGGTCCCTTGGAAGCGACGCGCAGTATGGCCTGAATATAGCGACAAGTGTGCAAGGGTCACTGCACCGGTGCCCAGGTGCGGTGTTAAATAGACAAGGGTTCCCACATCAAGGATGGATGTGGGAAAAGAAGCTAGTCTATGAAACTAAAATTAGGATAGGAACTTGGAATATAGGTTCTCTTACAGGAAAATTAATGGAATTAACATATATTATGATTCATAAGAAGATAAATATTTTGTGCATTTAAGAAAGTAAATGGGTTGGAGAGAAGGCTAAGGAGATTGATAGTTTAGGATTTAAACTTTGATATTCGGGTAGGAGTCATACTAGAAATGGTGTATGTGTGATTATAGATAAGAGTTAGAATGATAGTTTTATAAAAATTAATAAAATAGGAGATAGAATTATAGCTTTAAATATTGTTGTTGATGCTAAGATTGTTAATATTATAATGCTTATGCTCCTCAAGTAGGTTTGGATATGAGTTCAAAATTAAATTTTTTAAATGACCTAAAAGAATTAATACAAAAGATATCTTTTGAAGAAAAAAATTATTGGAGGAGATTTAAATGGTTGTGGGCTCCAAAAATTCTGCCCCGACCTCCGTACCGATGTTTGCTTTTCTTCGGCGAGTGAGTTTTAATGGAATAAGTTTCGGGGTAAATTTTGGAAGGCAGATGAGTTTGTAGATAAGACACTGCCCAGAGATTTCGCCCTC